GGGTTTTGAAACTGGGTAGTTTACCCTTCATAGGGTTTTACCTAGGGAAAATTTGGTTTTGTGTAACCCTTTTCATACTTTTACCTAGGTGATACTGTGTAGGTACCCGCTTTACTGTGTACCTAGGAAACTGTGTTGTACCCCTAATAACTGTGTACCTAGGATTATGTGTATGTCCCCTTTTCCAAAACTGTTCCCTGGTAAATATTGTGTATGGGGGCCCTTCATACTGTGACCGGGGTGTTTAACTGTTTTAGGGGTACCCTTCAAAAACTGTGTACCAAAGTGTTTGCGGTGTAGTGTACCCTTTCAAAATTTTTTTACCTAGGTGTTTACTGTGTGGGTTACCCTTCATACTGTTTTCCTAGGTGAAAAACGGTAGGTGTAAAAAACCCTTCCTGGGGGTACCGGGGTAAATACTTTTGTAGTGAAAACCCCTTAAATACCTGTGTACCTAGGTGATATTTGTGTAGTGAAACCCCGTAAACTTTTGTACCTAGGTGTTTTACTGGGGTTAGTGTACCCCCCTTTCTTTACTGTGTACCCTAGGTAAATACTGTTTAGGTGTACCCTTTTTAATATCTGTGTCCCTTTAGGGGAGACTGGGGTGTAAAAACCCTTCATAACGGGTGTCCCCTGTGATACGGGTGTAGTTACCCCTTTTTTTTACTGGGTACCTGGGTTTTGTTTCTTTTGTAGTGAAACCCTTCATGGGGGAAAACTGTGTGGTCCCTTGGGGTGTCCCTGGTTTAAGGGTGAAAGGCGAAACCCTTTATACTGTGTACCTAGGTGAACTGTGTAGTGTACCCCTTTCAGACGGTGTACTATTCCCGTAGGTGTAACTTTGTATTGTCCCCTTAATACGGGTTTGACCCCTTGTGAACCTAGGTAGTACTGTGTAGGGAAACCCTTTAAGCCTTTCCGGATAATATTGGAGAAACCCCCTTTGTGTACCTGGCCGGGGTTTTAATCGAGCCCTGGGAGAAAATTGAAAAGGTACCCCCTTTCCCAAAGGGGGCTTTTACCTGGTGATTAACTTTGTGATTTAAAATTGGTCCTTGCCCCCTTTTCAAAACAACCGGGGCCTTGTAGGGGTTAGGTTTTAGGTAAACTTTTCGTCAGGAAAAAGGCCCAAAGTTTTCCTGAGGGCGGTCTTAGTCAAAAGTGACCCGCCCTTTAAAAGATTTTGGTCATCTGACCGGGGGCCTTTTCCTCGGGTTTACCCGGGTCCACCCCCGGGTTAAAATTTTAATTGGTTTATTTTATAACCTTTGGTTGCGACCCCTTCAACTGTTACCTAGGTGATATTTGTGTGGTGCCCCCCCTTCATCTGTTTTAAAACCTATTGATACTTTTGTGGTGTACCTCAAACTGTGTCCTAGGGGGTACTGTGTAGGGGTACCCTTCATACGGGTGTACCAAAGGATATGTTATTTTCCCTTACACTGTTTTCCCTAGGGATACTTTTGGGGTAAAAATTCCCCCTTTCATACCGTGTCCCCCCCCCAAGGGTGTTTACTGTTAGTTCCCCTTCATATTTGGGGTACCTATTTTTGATACGGTTAGTGAAAACCCTTCATACTGGGAAAACCTATTTGATACTTTTTGTAGTGTCCCCTTTTCGACAGTGTCCCAAAAGTAAAACGGGGTATTTACCCTTTCAACAACGGTGTACCTAAGTGATACGGTGTAGTGTCCCCCTTCAAAAACTGTGTACCTAGGTGTACGTGTATTGGACCCTTCGAAACAGGGGTTACCTAAGTGTTTAACTGTGTATTTTTCCCTTCCCCACATTTGTGTACCAAAATTTGATACTGTGTATTGGTCCCTCATCCCTGTGAAACTGGGTGTAACTGTGTAGTGTCCCCTTTTCGTACATTTACCTAATGAAATGTGTATGTACCCTTCATCCCTGTGTACCTAGTGTTACTTTTAAAGTGAAACCCTTCATACGTGTTTTCAAAGGTGAACTGTGTAGTTTTCCCTTAAATACTGTTTACATAGGGGACTGTTTTTCCCCTTTCTTTACTGTGTACCTAGGTGAAACTGTGGGGTTCCCCCTTCATACTGTGTACCTGGGTTGTTTACTTGTGGTCCCCCCTTTCAAAAACTGTGCCCTTGGGTGATACGTTTTGGTGGTACCCTTTTCATCCCTGTAATCCTAGGTTTTACTGTGAAATGTACCCTTCATACTGTTACCTAGGGGGATACTGTGGGGGTTTTTCCCTTTCCCTACTGTGTACCTAGGTGAAACTTTTGTAATGTCCCCTTTTCACACTGTTTTCCTAGGTGATACTGGGAGTGTACCTTTAAACACTGTGTCCCTAGGTGAAAACTGTGTAGTGTACCTTTCACACTTTGTACCTGGGTGATACTGTTATTGAAAACCCCTTTTCACACTGTGTACCTAGGTTTTACGGGTGAAGCGAAACCCTTAGAAACGTGTCCCCAGGGTTTCCCTGTGTGTGTACCCTTCATACTGTGTACCTAGGGGATACTGTGATTTCCCCTTCATACTTGGTACCAAAGGTGATATTTGGTAGTTTTCCCCTTCACTTTTTTAAACCTGGGTGAAGTGTTACGTACCCTTCAAAACTGTGTACCTAGTGGTTTTGGTTTTTAGCGAAAACCCCTTAGCACTGTGTACCGGGGTGATACTGGAAAGTGTACCCTTCATACGGTGTACCAGGTGATACGTGTATGTCCCCTTTCATACTTGGTGTACCGGTGATACTGTTAGCGTACCCTTCATACTGGTACCTGGGTGATACTGTGTATGAAACCGGGGTTTCTTTAATTTTGGGGCCTAGGTGATCTGTGTAGCGCCCCCTTTCTTTACTGTGTACCTAGGTGATACTGGGGTTAAGTTTTCCCCCTTCATACTGTGCCCCCTGGGGGTGATACTGTGTAGCGCCCCCTTTCATACTGTGTACCTAGGTGAAAACTGTGTATGTACCCTTCAAAATTTTGTGTACTTAGGGGGTTAGGGTGTAGGGTACCCTTCCAAAATGTTTTTCCCTAGGGATACTTTTTAAGTGTACCCTTCATATTTGTGTACCTAGGTGTACGGGGTTTAGCGAAACCCTTCAACTGTGAACCTAGGTGATACTGTGTAGTTTTACCCCTTCATACTGTGAAACCTGGGTGGATACGGTGTACGTCCCTCTTCTATTTGGGGTACCTAGGTGATACGTGGAGGTACCGTTCTTTCTGTGTACCTGGGTGACAAAACTGGTGGGCCCCTACCCTTCATATTTTTTTACCTAGGTGATACTTTTAGTGTACCCTTCATCCCCCTTGGGGTTTTACCTAGGGGGAATGTGTACGAACCCTCAACGGGAACCTAGTGTTTCCCGTGTAGTGTGCCCCCTTTCATCCCTTTTTCCCTAGGTAAATGTGAAATTTACCCTTCATATTGTGTACCTAGGTAAATACTTTTGGTAGTGTACCCTTCAATACCTGTTTTCCTACGATACTGGGGGTAGCGAAACCCTTCAAAAACTGTGAAACCTAGGTGATACTGTGGGGGTGTCCCCTTTCATACTGTGTACCTGGGTGAAAAATTTTTTGTGTACCCGACCCTTCACACTGTGTACCTGGGTGAAAATGTTAGGGGTACCCTTTCTTTAACTGTTACCTAGGTAAACTGTGTAGTTTTAACCCTTCATATTTGTGTCCCCTTTAGGGATACTGTTTAGTGTCCCCTTCAAACGTTCCCTTTAGGGATAAATTGGAGTGTCCCCTTTTTCATCCCTGTGTACCTAGTGTTACTGTGATGCCCCCTTCATACGTGTACCAGGTAATACTGTGTATTGTCCCCCTTCATACTGTTTTCCTAGGTGATCGTGAAAGTGTCCCCTTTCAAAACTGTGTACCTAGGTGATCTTTTTAAAGGTACCCTTCATACGGTGTACCAAGGGATACTTGTAGTGAAACCCTTCAAAACGTGTACCTGGTAAAACCCCTGTAGTTACCCTTAGGTATGTACCCCCAAGTATGAAAAACACATGGGCAACATTTAGGTTTTCCCTCTTTTCCCCAAAAACTTTGCGCCTGCCTTTTTTGCTTCTTTAAAGTCGAGGTAAAGGGGAGACTTTTAAAGTAGTAGTGATTTTAAGACTAGGGGATGTATCCCGTCCATCAGCCTTGAGGACGTATTTTTTGGGGGTGGTCAGTCCATCAGCCGGGGGGAAGGGAGTTATGCCCCAAATATTCTTAAAAAAATGTAAAAGCTGGGCAACAGAAGGAGACAAAACGTGAGTCCTCCTGTTTTCTTTTAAAAGGGCGATACCATAAAACCTTTGTGGTCCCAAAAACGGGAGACAATTCGGGACAATTTAAATGAAGTTCAGGATGATACACTAGTTTTTAAGAAAGAAAAATTTACGTTAACTACATTATCCATCAATAATCCGGAAGTTACGCTGTATCTAAATTGTTGATCAACAGAATATTACCCATTCTGGAGACTCTGTAACATGATGTTGACAAGTCCTTCTCTTATACAACCCGTCTCACCACACTTGTACTACTACTACTACTACTACTACCAACCCATCTCAGTTCACTACCAGATTACTGCCACTATATATACATGTACTCGTTTTGTTAGTTATCTCTGTATTAGGACTGAAGAATCCTCTCGTGGCATAACGTTTCCCCTAATAAATGTACTGAATTTCACTTACGTGTCTTTTTTCACTTATACTTATACGCAGACCTGTTATTATTATTACTATTATTATTTATTAGGAGACATGGACGACGTCTAGTTATGCTCCAAGGTAGGAAGTAAGGGTTTCCTAGGAAGATCCTAGAGATTTGAAAAGCAATCAATATGGCTGTTGCTTCTTGCCACTGTCCTAATTCAGAGGACAACTGCACACCATTCTTTCCCAGGGGACGCACGACGTGGGAGGGAGAATAAACATAGCAATGTATAATAAACTTCCCAGTCAAACTACAAAAAAAAAAAATAATAATATAAATCTTTCTCACAGCGGACATGAGCGAGCGATCACGGAAAAAATGAAACTGCAGCTCCTACTTCAGAGAGTAAACCCACGTTGGACTTCGAGGTGACACGACGGCTGGTGGAGACGAACTTGAGGGACGCTTACTTTTTCTTCTCAAACCAACTAAAACAACTTTACTCTAGTAACACGAAAATGAAGCCAGAAGACTTCAAGAACCTCCAGAAGGAAGGTGCAGAGCGCATCAGGTAAATGATTTAGGTAATGCTGATACAGTTTGTGAATTGTATCAGCATAATTAATCAAGGTCAGTTTCCATACGCTTTAGCATGGGACGTGGAGTATACCAAAGTCTGTACAATATCTGCAGTTTAGTGTACATTGTGAAAAGTTACAAGTTCTTGAGACTTGGGAAATAGAAACCAAACACTCAGGAATTGGCGACCAACTCCTGCACGGTTTCAACATATAAATTTGACTCTCTCAGTGAACTGGGACAATAATCACATCTACAAAATCGAATTTCATTCGAAACGAAAATCCGACAAATCGACATTAATTAAAGTGAAGCCAAATTTAATATTTCAATTTTTTTTTAAATCAGATGTAATTATAAAATATACAATAATAAGGATTCCAGCACTGAGCATAATTCTGCATTAGCACAACAATAGTCCAGACGCCCTCATATCAATATGTCTAAATAAGGCGATTCTATATACCAATTAATACACGAATCTCTCATTCTTCCTGATATATACCTGTTCTCCCCTTGTTTCTTTGCCTGATCCTTGACTCACTTAGCCAATCATCAGGATTCTTCAGTACGACTTACGGAGGCTGGGTCAGGTGGGAGACGAGGAAGGCAGCTGGAGGCAGCGAGAGGCTAAAGAGTTGAGTGAGGAGATACAGCAACGTTTACACCGTCTGCAGCATCCACCTGACTGTGCCACTGCAAAGAAACTTCTCTGTGATCTCAACGCGGTAAAGTGGTACTCTTTTTTCCATGTTTCATAACACTATATATATACTACATATAACACTGGTCTGCATTTGGAATGTTTTTAATTTTTATTTTTATTCATGGTTGTGATCTGACATATTCTTGGGCTGCTGATTGTAAATATCTAAACCATTTTGCTCTGCCACGTAAAGATTTTGAATAAAATACAAATTAATGATTATAAGAAAATGTGAATTTTTAATAAATCGTTAATTTATTAATATTAGGCAAGTAATCATGGAGAAGCACATTCTGTTTTAAGAACATATGAATTCCAAATCAACATGAATCAAAGCAAATGATTTTATTAAAAAGACATGCTCCTTATGGTTATCCTACATATTGAAACAAACGAAGGAGGACTGCTTTAATTTTCACTTGTGCTGTGCATCGAGACCATTACGTTTCAATGACTCCAAGTAATCCGCCATCATGCTGACATTCCATTTGCCCTGGTATAGAGTTTCCATGGTGCAAATATCCTGATGAAACCGTTCACCTTGTTCTCACTGTAATCCCCACAATTGTTGGGAAAATAATCAAGATGTGAGTGAAAAGTGCATCTTCACACTCATTCTAGACCCAAGTTGTTGGGAACTTGATATCAGGTCTTGGATAATTTTTTTTACATATTCGGGGAAGTGCCTGTTTTCCAGGAAGTTGTGGACAAGCTGCTTGAATGAAAACCAGACATTCACTTCGACACCTACCTGCTAATGCTTCATCAAAATGCTTGTCCTTCATCAAGTCCCGAATCTGAGGACCAACAAAGATACCTTCCATTAGCTTTCCTTCACTTATACGAGGAAACTTTGACTCCTGGTACTTGAGAGCAGTTTCATTCTTGTTCACGGCCTTCACAAAATTTTTCATAAGCCCTAATTTGACGTGGAATGATGGCAGCAGAATTTTCTTGGAGTCAACTAGTGGCACAGGTTTCACGTTGTGATTTCCGGGTAAGAAGCTGGTTCTTGGTGGCCAGTCGTTTTGTTCATAGTGCTGAATGTCTGCCCTACTATCCCAAAGACACAGAAAACAGGGATACTTGGTGCATCCGCCTTGAAGACCTAGTAGGAGAGAAATATCTTTTAAATCACCACAAATGGGAAAATTGTGATTCTGGTACTTGATTGCAGATATTAGTGTCTTCATATCTGCATAAGTTTCTGACATTTGGACACTATGGCCAGTTGACACAGATGCAGCTGTATTGCCATTGCGGAGAAGTACAGCCTTTAAACTTCTTTTAGAAGAATTAGTGGAGAATCTCCATTCTCTTATTTGTATGACATCCTCAGGTGTTCAATAATGTCAGAAATATTTGAGCAGAAAACTAGTTTCCTCTTTGTCAATGAACTGAGTGAATTCCGCTTCACGATGACGGCACCAAACGAATGTTGTTCTAGGAGCTAGAAGCCTGTGTTCCTTCAATCTAGAGCCAAGTAACTGTGAACTTTGTTTAGGAAGGTTAAGATCTATCATCAAGTCATTGAGGTCAACTTGGTTGAAGGGTTTGTGATCGTCATTTGTTGGTGGTTCATAGTCTACTTCCATCTCCTTAGAATCACTGGTATCAGACCCTGATAAAATTTGCCACATCTCAGGTGGCACAGGTACAGGAATATCTTCAGAGTGTGGAATAGACTTTATTACTGAAAAAATATTTGGGTATATTATGTGATCTTTAGTCTTCTTGTTGAATCCAGCTACTTTAGTCATACAAAAGCAGCAGTCATCATGGTGGTTCATCTGCTCCCGCCATACCATTGGTATTCCAAAGGTCATAGATTGAAGTTTTCCAACTGACTACATTTGGAGCTTACTGATGCAACTCTTGCAAGCTTTGTGTGGTGCAAATGGTTTGTCCTGGTCTCCAAGTTTGTCCTGGTCTCCAAGTTTGTCCTGGTTTCCAAGTTTGCAGCCAAAATAAAGTAGCAGCTCTTCAATAAAGGAATAATGATGCTCTGGGAATCTGAAGGGGTGAATTGCCCACAGACAGCAAAATATGTCTGGTGAATTTATGCAACCTCTAGACAATAAAGAAAATAAAGAAAAATATATTAGATTTAACATTTAAGACAATATATGTAAGTATTTTAATTGGTAATAACACTTTCCCATTTACTTATGTTATACGAAAAGAGAAAAGTAACGTTTCTCTATAACTTGACAACCTGATGTGATAGAGATTAATAAAAAACACAGTGAATCACTATTTTCCATATATACCGAAAAAGATACCACAGAGTCAATAAAAGTCATGCAGACCAGTGCTATCAGTGAAACAATATTTTAGCCAATACTTGGTCTAAATAACATACATTAACCCTTTGACTGTTTTGGTCGTATATATACGTCTTACGAGCCACCGTTTTTGACGTATATATACTCATAAATTCTAGCAGCTTCAAATCAAGCAGGAGAAAGCTGGTAGGCCCACATGTGAGAGAATGGGTCTGTGTGGTCAGTGTGCACCACTTAAAAAAAAAATCCTGCAGCACGCAGTGCATAACGAGAAAAAAAAACTACGACCGTATTTTTTAATACCAAAAACTCCGGCTTTACAGTTTCTCGCTATTACATTTTTGTTTTAACACCTCAACAGCCATGTGGTTTTGGCTGCGAGATACATCACCTCATCCACTGCTTCATGGCAGCCTATGAGAAAAATAGAACACTCATCCTGAACTCTGCTGGCTGGCGTTACTCCCCCAAGGGCTGGGAAACTGTCTTCCAACCTTTCAGTGAAACATGCACCAACTTCTCAGCGAAAAATATGACTAACTGGCCTGGTAAGATGTACGAATATTTTTTGAAGATCCTTCGCATTTTGAACTAGCCACGATCAACTTTTACTCTGAACTAAAACAGATTCTTGCTCACAGAAATATGTTATCTCTCTGCAGGTACAAATGAATCACAAACGGTGCGCTTTCCCGATTTCTACACCATGATTCCACCTCCAGTAAACCTGCCATTAGCCATCCCACAAGACATCTCTGAACGGCTGATTCGCCTTCATGGCAGTCCGGGCGTCTGGTGGGTGGGTCAGTTTATCAAATATTTCTTCAAATTACACCCGTACGTGAAAGAGATGATCAACAATACCCAGAAAGCAATTCAGTTTCAACATCCTATTGTGGGGTAAGAGTCCTGATAAATTCTTTTTTTAACGGATATAAGTGATGGATAAATGATGAAGAATATAATGCTGAAGCTTGTATGATGTTGGTTCTCTTAACCCATCAAGGTCCAGAGTCAATATTATAACATCCTGTTATCCTCAATTATAACATCTTGTTATCATCCACAGTTATAACATCCTGTCATCCACAGTGTACACGTCAGACGAACTAATAAATACACTGAAGCACGTTTCTATAACGTTGATGATTACATGGAACAAGCAGAGGAATACTTTGCTGGACTCGAGATCTTCAACCCAAATGTTACACGAAGGATCTACTTGGCTTCCGAAGAACCCAAAGTCTACGAGGAAGTCAAACTAAAGTAACAATTTGATTTTGATGTGATAAGATGTTTTGTAACGCGACATAAGCTATGTTCTAATTTTTTGTTAAAGAAATCTTGTAATATAGATTCACTGCATTTTTCGTATTTGACTTCATTATAGAGATAATTTTTTTGACACTGATTTGAGTTGAATTATAATAAGGTTGAATATTTTGTTTTTCTGAGACAATTTAAATTATATTAGTCACTATGGAAGAAAATATCTAATGAATTTAATACCATTAGTAGTTAAAGGGGTATGTTACACAGTCTTTGCAGATTTTTCATGATTTCGTGTAAGTTTTTTCTTTTACAGCTTAAATCCTACTCAATATTTCCAAAGTTCCTGTCATGTTTTCATTGGTTTCCTAAAATCAGTGTTCACAAGAAATAAGCTTCCTAACATTACACAAATAACCCGCACATAAAAGACAGAAGCTTACGACGACGTTTCGGTCCGACTTGGACCATTGACAAAGTCACACTAACCAGAGGTTGTTGTTCTTAAAGATTCACCGGTATTCTCCCGGCCCGGGCCCTTCCACTTGGTGGCCCGGCACTGGCTCCCTGTCTAGGGAGTGTCTGAGACCTAAGTCTCCCATGGGAGGAGGCACAAGTACCCCCCTCATCTTGTGAGCTACAAACTCGGGCTCTGGCACCAACCCTGCCCTAGAAGGGCAACGCATGGTGTCGATCGTGCTAGCGCTGTGCTCTCCTGTGTGGAGTGTCGTGTGTTGGTGTTCATTTTCATTCATGTTGATTCGCTGGTACTTCCGGCCCAGGTCTTCTCCAGATGGTGACCCGGCAGTTACCCCCCGGGTGGGGGGTGACGATCATCATCTTTCTTCTTTCTTGGCCCTTTGGTTGGAGGGTGTCGCTGACTTCCCCAAAGAGAAGCACAGTCGGGCAGAGGCAGCAGTTACAGGGTCGATTGGAGCTACACCCCAGCTTTAGTGGACAGCAAAGTGCTGGGTAAACTTATCTTCATGGTGAATGGTCATGGATAGTCATGCTAGACGAGGGTACCGTCTTCAAGGTCCCCATTCAGAAGCATCCTGAATTTCCTCTTTGAGGTGTACTCGACTTCCACAAGGTGATGATAAATTAGACACATGGTTAACTCTTGGGTATCTTTATTGAGGAAACGTTTCGCCACACAGTGGCTTCATCAGTCCATACGTAGGAGAAACTTGAAGAACAGGAGGAGAATGAGGTAATCAGTCCCTCAACCTTGAGTCGATGTGTTCAGTCCATCAATCTTGAATAGAATACGGCATATCAGCGGAGAAGCAGCTTATAAACCGTATGGCAGGAGAGGTGCAGCAGTCATAGGTCGTGTCACATTTGTTCAATGTGGAAGTAGGTCGTGCCCAAGAATTAGGCAAGCGAAGAATTCCTAAGTATTAAGATCCCAAGAAGTTGCAGTGTCTGACAGGTTTGTAGATGAATGGTTCAGAGAACCGACATGTTGATAAATTTATCAACATATCGGTTCTCTGAACCATTCATCTACTTCCACAAGGTGTTGGATGTTGGCAGTGAGTAGTCTGGTCATGTCTGCAGTGGTGTATGTAACAGTTTGGTCGTAGGTATACTTGACTGTTCCGTCCTGGAGGTGCTGATGAATTTCTGAAGACAGCATTGTGTTCTTATACTGCTTGGTTGTGTAGAAGTATACACCCTTCAGATATCGGTGCAGCAGTGCAAGTGGCACCGGGAGGTGCATCTGCAGTTTCTTGTCTTTTTGCTTTCTTGGCTGGTTATCTGAACTGGTGAAGGCGAGATTTCCGACTGGTCAGTTGCTCTAGCAGTGGATGCAAGCGGTAGTGGACTCTCATTGGTGGGGTTTGCCGACGTCTCAGTGGTCTCTGATTGGTCCATCTCTGTGTCTAGTGGAGGTTGTGACAGCGGTGGAGCAGCGGTGATGCTGGTAATATTTGCAGTAGATTTTAGGATCTCAGTGGAAGGTGGTGATGCAGGGAATGTGTGGCCAGGCATATTATTTAGTTTGAAAAGTTCATTGATGGTGGTGTTGAAGGAACCAGGCTCAGCTGCATTCTGTACATGAGCATACATAATGCAACAAAGAATCTTGGTGGAGTCGGCAGTAGGTGCTGGCAGGGAAGTGGTGGGAGCAGCTTGCGTGGCATGTAGTATCTTGGTAGTGTCTGCTTGAAGCTTGGCGATAGCAGAATATGTGGTTGCTTGTGGTTTGGGCTTCTTTTGTTGTTGTTGTTGTTGTTTCTTGAGTATGTCTCTTCTGGTAGGGCACCTGGCAGCAAGAGTATGGTGGTCATTCTTGCAGTTCAAGCATTTAGGTGGTGAAACAGTAGTGCAATTCTTGAAGTCATGACCCTCATGGCCACAGGTGGAGCAGAACTTCTTGTCCTTGGTAGGACAATCATTTGTGGTGTGTAAGTATGAGTAACAATTATAGCACTGTGAGATATGTTGGAATTTCTCTGCTTCGATGAAGCCTGGGTTGATGTAGTAGTGAATAGCCAGGCCCTCAGCGAGATCTCTGGCTGCCATGTTGACGTCACTGAAGGTAACCTTCAGCATGGATGAAGCATTGGGTATTTTAGTAATGAAGTCCACCTTGGCCCAAGGGTTCTTTGCTTCGATAGATGACTTGATTTCTTCAGTGGCCTGTACAGTGATAAGGTTGTCGAGTCGCTTGAGGAACACAGTTCTCCTGGCCCTCAGTGCTGGGGAAGTCAAGACAAGAAATCCCTGGTCTCGTAGAGTGGTAGTAGCAGTGATGATAAGTAGTTTCTCAGCCTCTGTGTAGTCTGTACAGACGACAACAAAGGCCTCTTTGAGCGATAAAATCGCATTACATTTGACTTGCAGCCTGCCACTAACGACAGCTGCAAGTGCTAGTTTGGACGACTCATTGGTTGTGCCACTCGCTGGTTTGATCTTTACTCTGTTAGAGTAATGTATCGTGAGTAAGCAGTGCTCTGCTAACCAGAGGTGGAGCAGGACGGCTATATATAGGCAGGAAGAGGTGGTGGTAGTAGTAGTAGTAGTAGTAGTAGTACAAGAATTGTATATAATACCGACAAGATGAAATTAAGACACATGCACAACACCCGGGCATCCCCATCGTAGACGTTTCGCCATCCAGCCAGCCACTGGATGGCGAAACGTCCACAACAAAAACAACCAGACGCCGCACATGTGTCTTGGCTACCCTTCCCATTTCATAGACTCTGCCCTCTCACGTGCTAAACGCAATTTCTTCTCTCGCAAACTCTCTACTCATTGGAACTCTTCTATCCTCTGCCTTCCCTACATTTCTGGTCTTTCTAATCTCAACAATTCTCTCCGTCCCTTAGACATCAAGCTTACCTTCCGCCAGACTAACACTCTTCGCACTATTCTCGTTCATACCTCTCCTCCCTCTACAGATGTTCCTGGTGTCTACTCTATTTCTTGCTCCTCCTGTCCTCTTCAATACTTCGGAGAAACTGGTCGATCTCTTTCTGACAGACTTAGGGAGCACAAAAATAGTGTTAGGCTTGCCGACACTAACAATGCTCTTTTCTGTCACATCAGAGATCATAGCCACCCTATTGACTGGTCTTCTGCTAAAACTGTCTTCCCTACTTCCAACTCGAACAGTCGCCGTCTAGTTGAATCCTCTCTAATACACAACTTTCCTTGTATGAACCTTAGCCCTGGCTTCGTCTCTGAAGATGCCTTCCTCTCCCACTACATTGTAAAATGCTCCAAACTTCAGAACACCCGTGACTTAACCTGAATCCTCCTCTGGGTCGTCTTTCTCTCTCCTGTCTCGTGTTTCTGTTCCTTCTTCATTTATTTCACCACTTCCCCTTTCACGCACCTCTGTGCGCTTGCTCTCCCTCTGTGGGCATCTAGCTCTCTTGCAGTGCTCCCATTCCTTTGTATTTGACTGGCTCGTCTTCCTTATTTCCCACTTCCACCACTACCACTACTACTACCTCTTCCTCATCTACTACTACTACAACTACTGATGAAATTAGGACACATGTGCGGTGTCTGGTTGTCTTTGTTGTGGACGTTTCTCCATGCAGTGGCTGGCTGGATGGCGAAACGTCTACAATGGGGATGCCCGGGTGTTGTGCATGTGTCTTAATTTCATCTTGTCGATATTATATACAATTCTTGTACTACTACTACTACTACTACTACTACTACTACTACTACTACTACTACTACTACTACTACTACTACTACTACTACTACTACTACTGCTACTACTACCACCACGTCTTCCTGCCTATATATAGCCGTCCTGCTCCACATCTGGTTAGTGTGACTTTGTCAATGGTCCAAGTCGGACCGAATCGTCGTCGTAAGCTTCTCTCTTTTAAGTGCGGGTTATCTGTGTATCGTTCCAGTCACGGTATTGTGCCTTTTTTGTTATTCCTAACATTATTATTGGCCAGGTATCCTCACTACAAGATTCTCTACCATCAGAAGAAGATAGATGTAGTTCAAATGAGCACACGACGCTCTCTGACCTCTCTCAGAGATCTCCTGGTTGATATACACTTCTTGACCCATTCAGACTACGTCATTCTCACTTTCTCTTCCAATGTGAGTACTATTTTGATCTTCGTATGCAAAAGCTATGGTCCCAAATTATGGATTTTATGACGACACTTATAATGCAGTACTTATAATTACACTGTAGTAGAGGTGATTCCTTCATCACCTCTTTGATTCCATTTTTTCTTTAATTCCCTGCTTCTACAAAATCTTATAAATTAGATTCTTCTCTAAATGGGTTTATGGAAGGAAGAAAACTGCACATTACACTACGGCCTTTCTTAACACAAAGTAACAGTGCACTGCTGTTCTTAACACAAAGTAACAGTGCGCTGCTGTTCTTAACACAAAGTAACAGTGCGCTGCTGTTCTTAACACAAAGTAACAGTGCGCTGCTGTTCTTAACACAAAGTAACAGTGCTCTGCGGTTTTTCACAAAAAGTGACAGTGCTCTGCAGTTCTTAACACAAAGCAACAGTGCTCTGCTGTTCTTAGCACAAAGCAACAGTGATCTGCTGTTCTTAACGCAAAACAACAGTGCCATGCTGTTCTTAACACAAAGTAACAGTGCTATGCAGTTCTTAACGAAAAACAACAGTGCTCTTCTGTTTTTAACACGAAATAACAGTGCTCTGCTGTTCTTGACACAAAGTAGCAGTGCTCAGCTGTTCTTAACACAAAGTAACAGAGCTCTGCATTTCTTAACACAAATTAACAGTGCTCTGCTGTTCTTAACACAAAGTAACAATGCTCTACTGTTCTTAACATAAAGTAAGAGTGCTCTGCTGTTCTTAACACAAAGTAATCGTACTCTGCTGTTATTAACACAAAGTAACAGTGCTCTGCTGTTCTTAACACAAAGTAACAGTGCTCTGCTGTTCTTAACACAAAATAACAGTGCTCAGCTGTTCTTAACACAAAGTAACAATGCTCTACTGTTCTTAGCAAAAAGCAACAGTGCTCTGCTGTTCTTAACACAAAGCAACAGCGCTCTACTGTTCTTAACACAAAGTAACAGTATTCTGCTGTTCTTAACACAAAGCAACAGCGCTCTGTTTTTCTTAACACCAAGTAACAGTGCCCTGCTGTTCTTAACACAAAGTAACAGTGCTTTTCTGTTCTTAACACGAAGTAACAGTGCTCTGCTGTTCTTAACACAAATTAACAGTGCTCTTCTGATCTTAATACAAAGTAACAGTGCTCTGCAGTTCTTAACACAAAGTAACAGTGCTCTGTTGTTCTTAAATCAAAGTAACAGTGCTCTGCCGTTTTTAACACAAAGTAACAGTGCTCTGATGATCTTAACACAAAGCAAAAGTACTCTGCTCTTCTTAACACAAAGTAACAATGCTCTGCTTTTCTTAATACAAGGAAACAGTGGTCTGCAGTTCTTAAAACACAGAGTAACAGTGTTCTGCTGTTCATAACAAAAAGTAATAGTACTGTGCTGTTCTTAACACAAAGTAACAGTGCTCTGTTTTTTTTACCATAAAGTAACAGTGTTCTGAGGTTCTTAACATAAAGTAACAGTGCTCTGCTGTTCTTAACACAAAGTAACAGTGCTCTGCTGTTCTTAACACTAAGCAACAGTGATCTGCTGTTCTTAACACAAAGCAACAGTGCTCTGCTGTTCTTAACACAAAGTAGCAGTGCTCTGCTATTCTTAACTCAAAATAACAGTGCTCTGCTGTTCTTAACACAAAGTAACAGTGCTCTGCTGTTCATAACTCAGAGCAACAATCCTCTGTTGTTCTTAGCACAAAGTAACAGTGCTCTGCTGTTCTTACCACAAAGTAACAGTGCTATGCTGTTCTTAACACAAAGTTACAGCGCTATGATGTTCTTAACACAAAGCAACAGTGCTGTGCTGTTCTTAACACAAAGTAGCAATGCTTTGCTGTTCTTAACACAAAGCAACAGTGGTCTGCCGTTCTTAACACAAAGTTACATTGCTCTGATGTTCTTAACACAAATCAACAGCTCTCTGCTGTTCTTAACACAAAGTGACAGTGCTCTGCTGTTTTTAACACAAAGTAACAGTGCTCTGCTGTTCTTAACATGAAGTAACAGTGCTGTGCTGATCTTAACACAAAATAACAGTGGTCTGCTGTACTTAACACAAAGTAACACTGCTCTGCTCTTCTTAACACAAAGCAACTGTGCTCTGCTGTTCTTAACAGAAAGTAATCGTGCTCTTCTGTTCATAACACAAAGCAACAGTGCTCTGCTCTTCTTAACACAAAGAAACAATGCTATGCTCTTCTTAACACAAAGTAACACTGCTCTGCTGTTCTTAACAGAAAGCAACAGTTCTCTGCACTTCTTAACAGAAAGAAACAATGCTATGCTGTTCTTAACGCAAAGTAACAATGCTCTTCTGTTCTTAACACAAAGCAACAGTTCTCTGCAGTTCTTAACACAAAGTAACAGTGCTCTGCTGTTCTCAACACAAAGTAAGAGTGCTCTGTTGTTCTTAACGCAAAGTAACGCTTTTCTGTTCTTAACACAAAGTAACAGTGCTGTGCCGTTCTTAACACAAATTAACAGTGCTGTGCTGATCGTAACACAAAGTAACAGTGCTCTGCTGATTTTAACACAAAGCAACAGTGCTCTGCTGTTCTTAACACAAAGTAACAGTGCTCTGCTGTTCTTAACATAAAGTAACAGTGCTCTGCTGTTCTTAACACAAAGTAGCAGTGCTCTGCTGTTCTTAACACTAAGCAACAGTGCTCTCCTGTTCTTAACACAAAGCAACAGTACTTTGCTGTTCTTAACAGAAAGTAGCAGTGCTCTGCTGTTCTTATCACAAAGTAATAGTGCTCTGCTGTTACTAACACAAAGTAAGAGTGCTCTGCTGTTCTTAACGCAAAGTAACAGTGCTTTTCTGTTTTTAACGCAAAGTAACAGTGCTCTGCTGTTCTTAATACAAATTAACAGTGCTCTGCTGATCTTAACACAAAGTAACAGTGCTCTGCTGATTTTAACACGAAGCAAGAGTGCTCTGCTGTCCTTAAGACAAAGTAACATTGCTCTGCTGTTCTCAACACAAAGTAAGAGTGCTCTGCTGTTTATAACACAAAGCAACAGCGCTTTTCTGTTCTTAACACAAAGTAACAGTGCTCTGCTGATTTTAACACAAAGAAACAGTGCTCTGCTGTTCTTAACACAAAGTAACAGTGCTCTGCTGTTCTTAACACAAAGTAACAGTGCTCTGATGTTCTTAACACAAAGTAACAATGCTCAGGAGATCCTCACAAAAAGTAACAATGCTATACTGTACTTAACACAAAGCAACAGTGCTCTACAGTTTTTATCACAAAGTGACAGTGCTGTGCTGTTCTTAACGCAAAGTGACATTGCTCTGCTGTTCTTAACATAAAGTAACAGTGCTCTGCTGTTCTGAACACAAAGTAACAGTGCTCTGCTGTTCTTAACACTAAGCTACAGCGTTCTGCTGTTCTTAAAACAAAGCAACAGTACTTTGGAGTTCTTAACACAAAGAAGTAGTGCTCTGTTGTTCTTTGCACAAAGTAATAGTGCTCTGCTGTTATTAACACAAAGTAACAGTGCTCTGCTGTTCTTAACACAAAGTAACAGTGCTATGCTGTTCTTGACACAAAGTTAGAGAGCTCTGAAGTTCTTAACAAAAAGCAACAGTGCTCCCGCCCGGAATCGATCCCGTTCCCTCCGTGTGTGAAGTGAGAGTTTTAGCCACCAGACCACAAAGCAACAGTGCTCTGCTGTTCTTAACACAAAGTAGCAGTGCTCTACTATTCCTAACACAAAGTAACAGTGCTCTGCTCTTATTAACACAAAGTAACAGTGCTCTGCTGTTCTTAACACAAAGTAACAGTGCTCTGCTGTTCATAAATCAGAGCAACAATCCTCTGTTGTTCTTAGCACAAAGTAACAGTGCTATGCTGTTCTTACCACAAAGTAACAATGCTGTGCTGTTCTTACCACAAAGTAACAGTGCTATGCTGTTCTTAACACAAAGTAACAGTGCTCTGCTGTTCATAACTCAGAGCAACAATCCTCTGTTGTTCTTAGCACAAAGTAACAGTGCTATGCTGTTCATATCACAAAATAACAGTGCTATGCTGTTCTTAACACAAAGTTACAGCGCTCTGATGTTCTTAACACAAAGCAACAGTGCTCTGCTGTTCTTAACACAAAGTAACAATGCTCTGCTGTTCTTAACACAAAGCAACAGTGGTCTGCTTTTCTTAACACAAAGTTACATTGCCCTGATGTTCTTAACACAAAACAACAGCTCTGTGCTGTTCTTAACACAAAGTGACAATGCTCTGCTGTTCTTAACACAAAGTAACAGTGCTCTGCTGTTCTTAACACAAAGTAACAGTGCTCTGCTGTTCTTAACATGAAGTAACAGTGCTCTGCTGATCTTAACACAAAATAACAGTGGTCTGCCGTACTTAACACAAACTAACACTGCTCTGCTGTTCTCAACACAAAGCAACTGTGCTCTGCTGTTCTTAACACAAAGTAACCGTGCTCTTCTGTTCTAAACACAAAGCAACAGTGCTCTACTCTTCTTAACACAAAGTAACAATGCTATGCTGTTCTTAACACAAAGTAACACTGCTCTGCTGTTCTTAACACAAAGCAACAGTTCTTTGCAGCTCTTAACGCAAAGTAACAATGCTCTTCTGTTCTTAACACAAAGTAACAGTGCTCTGCTGTTCTTAACACACAGTAACAGTGCTCTGCTGTTCTTAACACAAAGTAAGAGTGCTCTGCTGTTCTTAACCCAAAGTAACGCTTTTCTGTACTTAACACAAAGTAACAGTACTGTGCCGTTTTTAACACAAAGTAACAGTGCTCTGCTCATTTTAACACAAAGCAACAGTGCTCTGCTGTTCTTAACACAAAGTAACAGTGCTCTGTTGTTCTTAAATCAAAGTAACAGTGCTCTGCTGTTTTTAACACAAAGAGACAGTGCTCTGCTCTTCTTAACACAAAGAAACAGTGCTCTGCTGTTCTTAACACAAAGTAACAATGCTTTGCTGATCTTAACAAAAAGCAAC